AGCAAGATACAATTGATCCTCAATTCGAGAGGAGGATGAGGATCGATCTCTCCCAAATCTCTAGACGCCGCTAGAGCCCAAAGAAAACCTAAATCTACGAGATCTCAAATTTCAGCCAAATTCAAGATACTCAAACCCTAGAAAAAACATCTATTTAATGCATACAAATCAAAAGGAATTCCCTAAACAATCCCTACAATCAATTTCCCTCCTAAAATCCATTCAAAAACCTTCCTATTCGGGCGTGCGGCTGAATCGGCGGCGTGCGTGCGTGCGGCTTCCGCCTGTTTCGCGATCTTTGGCCCGTGAACCGGTCCCGCCTGGACCGGCTGGACCGGTCTAACAGTTTGAGAGTTGAGACGAGTAGTGCCCAATCGTAATTTTTTGCATCCAATTGAAATAGATGTGATTCTCCTAGTTGTCAGTGTCAAAGACGCTTGTTTGACAGTATCCTCAGCTCAAACAACTTTTTTTGAGATATTCAATGAAAGTAGATTGTCAGGTGGGCTATATATGTAGCCGACCCCACGTAGTGGGATAAAGGCTTGATGTTGTTGTTGTTGTCAGGTGGGCTATTTACTTTCATGATATGATCACCAAATCAATGGCCTAGTTGCCTTAAGATCATCAAAATGCTTGATGGTGTGCTGGGGTGTGGTAAACGGTTTGTTGGAGTTTTATCTCAACAATAAAGTTATTCTAATCTATTTGTTTATGAATTGTTTATAATAGTTGTTAATGTTGAAACTTACAATTTATTGCTGCCGTTTAACCGCTTCGTAGGCTTTGGATTGTGCCGTTGTAAGTTTTCATGAGGGGTATTCTACAATTTGCCGAGACTTCGATTTAAGATGGATGAAGCAATTAAGATTTCGTTTGCGACAGTTTTTTTACTGTTTATTAAAGCAGTTTTAATTTTTGTACTAAAAAACTACTTTAAGAAGCAATAAAAAAACTGTCCCAAATGAAGCCTAAGTTGACACCTTGGGAATTCAATTTGATCCAAAATTGCAGGTTTGTTAGATGAGCGTATTGGACTTGAAGGCCAACTAGATTCTTATTCAATTCAAGTTTATGCTTATGCGTAATTCAATGCTTTTGAATTTGATTTGGTTGGCTTAGTTGACTCGATAGCTATCTGCTAATAACACTCATCCATCCATGTTCATGTAGGTAGAATGTGTACATAAAGCTGAATTGTAGTCAGCCAACTGCAAGTATTATACCTTCAATAGTTCCTTGATGCCATGTCTTTGTTTCCACTGATGAACAAGCAGACCCATAATATTATTTTTTAACTTGCAGGTCAGGCAGACCAAATGGGCAACCCAAGTGGCTTCTTTCTATTATTCCAAATTATCCACTGCTCAATTTCATGTTAACTACCATAATCTATCTATTTGTGAGTAATCTAACCATTTGTTACTAAAACATTTATTCTATTTATCAGTCCATTTACCTCTTAATGAATGCATAAATATGATCAACTATGAGGGATCAAACTGCAGATATCCTATAGGATCTTTGAGCTTACAAACACACTAAAGACTGCTTTCTTACCCACGAAGGACAACAAGCGCCTTCTGCAAAATTTTCTTACTGGAGCTGCCATCTTCATCTGTTTGTATTCCATCTCATTCATTCTCCTGCAGATACCAATACCTGCGGTATGTTTTGAGATTAATTTTCCATTTTTTTCATTCTTTCTAATTACATATTCTCTCTTTTTGTTCTTACATGCTGTAGCTAATCGCAAATTCATTCTTGTTTGACTTAAATTCACAGGCATGACATCAAGGTTGTCATACTTTGATGAAGCTTTCATTTTTTGTGATGCCGATTGAAAATTGACGATGAATAATTTGGTAGATGAATTATTTGTCTGTATTCGCAAGGAACTTAGCACATAAATGAAGTGATTGAAGCTCAAACGCAGATTAATGGTTGGAATATTGGTTCAAGTTAGGCTTAAAATGGGCTTCAAATTTTAGGCGTAAATTATTTCTTGATGGTCATATACCCATATTTCCAAATGCGAATGCATGGTGATGCTAATGGTCAGTACCTCCTGTTTCTGAAACAGAAATCAAATCTATTGTATTCATTTGGTTGTGGCTGTTTAGTTGATATATTTGTTGGTTTCTGTAAAGTTTGCGAGCATCCAGTGTTCTTGAACAAACCTGCTTTCCTTATTTTGAAATGATTATTGTAGTCGTGAACGACTATGGATAAATTTGATGCACAGTTGTTTTCTGAGATTCCTATAAGAATCATCATTTTTTTATGTTACTGTACATTTTTTGCAATTCAGTTTTTTTATTTCTGGGTTGAACTTTTTAAGCCAGATCATTGTATAACATAGAAAAATGAGCTGAAGTAAAACCTGCAGAATAAGGGGATGTGATCCAGCAGGAGTAGCCCAAAAATGTATGGAAGAAAAACATGAAGGCAGCAATGGTACTCAAGTGTTATCATCAGCATTAAAGGTTAAGGTTTTATTTGTGATTGGTTTTCTTACCACTTTCTAAAGTAATTTTTAGATATAAAAATTTTTTGTTCTAGAAATTTTATATTGAAAAGTTACTTTAAAAAGTAATAAGAAAGTTATCTGGTTTCATTTGGGGCAGCTTTCTTACTTCTTTTTAAAGCAATTTTTTTTATTTGAAATTTGCTTTAGAAAATAGTAAGATAGATGTCCCAAATGAGGTCTAAATGCAATGATGTTGTGAATATTAAGAGTTCCCTGAGTAGCAATGATGTTATGAATGTTAAGAGTGCACTGGGATGGGAAGGGAAGGGAAAAGGGAGATTGAGAGTTGAATATCATGAAGTTTGGTTGAAAAACAAAATGATAGTAAATGTAATATAAAGTGAAATAATTTATTTTGAGTGTAAATCAAACTTCTCATATTTTGAGTGAAAATCGTTTATACCACAAGCTTGCTTGATTGTCATTATCGCAGCTGCCAATCATCGTGGCGGTAGCTCGCTGCCACCACGATTGCCCCGTTGCCTCGACCCTACCACCCGCATGCCTCGGTCAACACGACCACAGCACTCGCCAGTTGCTGCTGATCGTCACAATTTAGGACTTTACTATTTATTCTTTCTAATCAACCAAATAAAAAAAAATCATTCACTTGCATTTGTTTTATATTCATCCAAATAATTTAAAAGTATTATTTTTACAATGTATTCTTTTTTCAGCCAACCAAACAAACTCTAAGTGAAATGCACATATATGTTAATGTGATTTAAAATTTAGAATAATATATAAATAAATAATTAAATAAATAAAAAAGTAAAAATCCATAACATATATAAATGTTAGGTTTGTGGGCTGGGGGTTATGGGCCGTGGGCTATGAACATACCATGGACTCTAATGTGAAAAACGGCAGAACTTAGGTAAAAGTCCGCTCAGCTATCCTAGTGCGTCTAATTCCTTCTCCTTGCTTTTTCCTAAATAAAAAACGTAAAAATCAATAACATATATAAATGTTAGGTTTGTGGGCTGGGGGTTATGGGCCGTGGGCTATGAACATACCATGGACTCTAATGTGAAAAACGGCAGAACTTAGGTAAAAGTCCGCTCAGCTATCCTAGTGCGTCTAATTCCTTCTCCTTGCTTTTTCCTCTTTTTGCTGCCCCGCTCATCTTTTTCTCGGAACGACTGATCGGTCTCCAATCGTAAATTCTCTCTCCCAACTTTGTGGACAAGAAAAGGGTAAGTGCAAATCCATCTTGAGTTCCGAGTAACAGGAACAGTTATTAGAGAAACATCTGGTCGTAGGCGAAATCCTGCCTATATCGAGATGTACCGAGTTTTTCCAAAAAAACTCGGTACACCTCGGTATAGGCGGGATTTTGCCTACAACCGGATGTTCCTCTGCATCCTTACACCGGACCAAATAAAAGAGGAAGGAGCAGCTTCGGAAGCTAGGAATTATCTGCTGGAGTTATGAGTTTTCTAACTGATAAGGTGTTCTGGTCTTTTATTTTGTGTTGTTAATATAACAAATAAATTACATAATTATATGATTTCATAATTAATACTTAGCTTACAAAAATAAATAGCTATTCAAATAAGAATTTTTTAACTTAAATAAAAAATTACAAATTCTTGTCTCGATAACTTTTACCAATATAATTTATTATATTTGCACTTTTCATTTCTCATCAAAAAGTAATTTTGAGTATTAAAATCAAGAAAAAATCATAAATTATATGAACTAAAATGATAAAAAAAAACAGCTTGAATTTTAAATAAAATTTATATCATTAGAAATTAGCTTAGTTCGTGTATATCTAGATAAAAATTATATCATTCTACCCAAAAGAATCTTGGAAAAAGACTAAAACTGAACCAATATCTAACATAATATTCATTCCCTCTTCCTTTTCTAAGAAAGTTTTCATAATCAGGTACTTTATTTTATAATCTCATATTCAACAGAATATTACATTTTGTTTAAGGAATTAATATTACCTTCTACATTGTTGGTTTTCAAAACTCTTCAAAGAAATGGTGCATTACTCTTGGTGCGGATTAGAATATACGCGACGATAGAGTTAAAAACTTCCGTCTCAGTGTTGTACAGATATCTAGCACACAAATAAAGGAGAAATAACAACAACAAGATTTTTACGTAAAAAACCCTGAAAGGGGAAAAACCACAGGGCCACGCCCGATTGAAAGAGTTTTACTAGTGTTTGCTTGAAATACAAGAGGCTGACTCGTCCTTAAAATTTGGGACGATCATATTACAATGAATCTCTTCAGGATTGAAAATCAGTTACCACGTCGAGCAGAGTTTTGGCGTCACTTGGAGATCGGGTGGAATTTTGGCGTCCTTCGGAGGTCGGGTAGAATTCTGGCGTCATTTAGAAGTTGGGCAGAATTTCGGCGTCGGACAGAACTCTAGAGTCACTTGAGCGTCGGATAGAACTCCGGCGTCGCTCGGAAGTCCGGCAGGATTCTGGCGTCGGGCAGAACTCTGGCAGTGGTCGAGGAGGAGTTCTTCCCTCCTATCCTTCTCTTCTTCTTGCTTGAATCCCCTCTCATGAGAAATGAGTGGTCTATTTATAGATATTTTGGAGTGGTATGGTTTGTAAATAGGTGAGAGATCGGGGGTAAATAGGGAGTGGTTGGATGGACGGCCGATTTTGAGTCCCTTGATCGTGTACCATTCGTCAGACTTTTGAAGGTTTTAATGATGTCGGAATTTGGGGATCTTGGGCTCGTTGGATTTGTCTCGTTGAGCCGCTCGATTCGACTATAAGAACGTCATATTTAAAAACCGTTTGGTAACTCAAATTAGGATTTGAACTTTCCAACAACACTTTGGGTGCTTGATTTGGACTCATTTGGGCTCGAATTGAGTCGAATTTGGTGTCGTTGAGTTCGTATTTTTGAGACGCTCAGTTTGACTGTAAGTTTGCTGAAATCGAAGTTCAGGTGATTCCGGATTTAATTTTTGAAGTTTCCGGCTCAATTTTGCCTTGAGATTCGTGTCCGGTCAAAATATTTTTTTTTTTTGAGGATATATCAGTTGCCACCTATTTTTGGACGTCGAAGCTCCAGGAGTTCGAAAATAATTCTTATTTCTTCCTTTGCATTTCTTAGCACCATTGAGCTTGAAGTTACTAGTTCATGTTCCTGTGCAGAGTTTACATATGAGATTATATTACTGTTAATTGTTTGGGATTTATGTCACATCAATAATTTTAATGTTTATTTTTTATTTACTTAAAATTTCTATAGTGTGTAACATGCAAAAATGTTACTAACTTTATTTTCCTAAACTTTGTTAAGATTAGCAACATCATTTGCTTTATCCCAAGATCATTACAAAAAATTGCACTTCATATCGAGTTATCGAGCCTATAAACAAGCCGAGTTCGAGCCTCTTACTCGAACTCGAGCTTACGAGCCAAGCTCAAGCCGAAAATATAAAAATCGAGTCGAGTTGGAGCTCGAGTTTGAGCCACTTAAACAGTTGGCGAGGCAAGCTTGAGCTCGTTAGGACTCGAGCTAGACTCGACTAGCTTGCACCCATTTTCTTATCTAATTTATTCTTGGAGCAAGCTGCGCTTGTGTGAGGAAAGAAATAGGATTCTTATAGGAAATTCTTCTCAGAAGTGTACAGGTAAAATTAGATCCAGCTGCGGAGTTAAGACGCCAGTTGGGGCCCTGGCTGTCGTTTTATATTTTTTTTTTTACTGAACTCGATTCCTATTTCCTACCTCAAGCAGGGGAGAGATTATTCTGTGTGGTGTCCAAACACGTCCAGAGGCTAATCCGGATGCGCTACGTCGCCTAATGCATTGTGCATTGGATGATGTGGCATATCTGGATTGACCTCCGGATATGGGTGTCAATATTTGTCACGACATGAAAACACGACCCGGAAAATCCGAGTTGAACCCGACCCAATTTCAAAACGGGTCGGGTTCGGGTTCAAGAAATTGACCCCCGTTTGAACCCGGGTCAGTTCCGGGTTCGACCCGAACCCGACCCGTGACCCGAAATTGACACCCCTACCTCCGGACATGTCCGGACACCGCACGTAATATTTTTTCGAGGCAGGGGATGGACGCAGTCAGTTTCTTACTATTTACTACATGTTATATGTTTTATTTTTATAGGGAGGAGGGGTGATTTATGAATTTTGCAGAGTCAACAGAAATTCTTTTGTTTCTTCTGGCCTTCATGCGGATCTGGTTCCTTTTGGTCGATCTATTGTTCTTTAGCTTTGTTTTTGAAGTCTTTTTAGATTCATTTTTGAGTGAACTATGTTTTTTATAAAGCTCATGAAGCTAATTACCCTTTACATGTAATTTTACTTGCTGTAACCTCTTTTTGGCAATATCTGAGCTTTGTTTTTTATAAGTTATATTTGCTTTGCCACAATTTTTTATTGTTTCTTAAATTAATTTTTTAAAAATTAAAAACTTTAAGAAACATTAAGAAAGTCATGTCTAAGATTTTGTTGGGACAACTATCTTTCTGCTTCTTAAAGCAGCTTTTAAAATGTTTTAACTAAAAAGCTGCTTTAAGAAGCAAAAAGAAAATGGTTCCAAACAATGATTAAGATCTCGTTTGGGACGGTTTTCTTTTTTCTTCTTAAAGCAGCTTTCTTGTACAAAAAATAAAATTTTTGTAATAGAAAACCACTTTATGAAGTAGTAAGAAGCCGTCCCAACCGAAGCCTAAGTCTATAAATTAATAAGCTTATATCCTGCTAAAGATTCTATATTAATTTGCCTGTTTGCTGTTTTTTTTGCACGCGAACTTTATTCAGATATTCATTTTGTTAATATTTTATGAGAATTTAAATAAATTTGTGTACGAGTTTTTATATGAGAAAATGCATTTCATTAAAAAAATAAATATTTAGTATCATATCTATGTCAAATGAAGGCATTTGCCTTGTATTCAAATCTTGGGCCCAGTTTCTCAGTATCCTATTTAGATGATTTATGAAAATTCCATAAATCAGAAAATAAATCACGTGGTTCTTAAAAAAATAATCTAAGGCGCAATCTACATAATAACTATTCATAAATAATAAGATGATTTAATTTAGAATTATAAAAAATAATAATAAGTTGAATATTATCTTCTAATAAAAGTAATATTGTCTTTTGAGCATTGTTGCGTCCATGAGTATTCATGGAGGTAGAGAAATATCATATTTAACGTCTTAGCGTTGTACGAAAATCCGGCACGCAATCAGATAAGTGAGTGTGTAGCATTCATAGAAGACACCATGATTTTTACGTGGAAAACCCCTGAAAAGGGGGAAAAAACCACGGGGCCTAGCCCAATTTGAATGAATCCACTAGTATTGTAGTCGATTACAAATGAGGCCCTTCCTTGAGAGAAGGCCTTAGCTTGATGTCCATTTTATAGAGTACATTACATGATGTGAATACAAAGAATCACTTTTGACATGTTCGTTTGGTCGGGAGGACCATAGTCTGGTGATGGAGGTCAGAATGGACTGTAGTCGGTGGGCGACGTAAGTCAGAAGGACCGTGGTCGGCGGGCGATGGAGGTCGGAAATACTGTAGTCGGTGGGCGACATAAGTCAGGAGAATCGTAGTCGACAGAGGTTGGAATGACTGTGTCTGACGATGAAGGTCAGAAGGACGACGTTAGGTGGAAGTCCAATAATGGAAAGAACTCCATCTTCAGATATACGTCCAGCGAATATCCGATAACCAGTAGAAGTCCGGCCTCGGGTAGAAACTTGGCGAAGAGTGAAGGTCCGGTGTCGGGTAGAAGTTCGACGTCTGTTGGTGGACGAGGAGAACTCTGGCATCACTTTGGTGGAGTTTCGGCGTCAGGGGGGTACTCTGTCGTTAATTGAGAAGAATTTCAGCATCCCGTGGAAGTTAGGCAGAATTCTGGCATTCTCCCGAATATCTGGTAGAATCTTGGCGTGTTCGGGCGGCGGGAAGAACTCCGGCGGTGGTCGAGGAGCTGATTCTCCTTCCCCTTCTTTTCTTCTTCTTCCTTTCTTCTTCTTGCTCCCCCCGTTATGGAGAATGAGAGCTCTATTTATAGTTTTTCTGGAGTGGCTTGGCTTGTAAATAGGCGGGAGATCAGGGGCAAATAGGGAGTGGTCGAATGGACGATTGATATTGAACCCTTTGATCGTGCGCTGTTCGTTGGACATTTGAAGGCCTTAGTGATGTCGGAATTCGGCGATCTTGGGCTCGTTGGATTCGTCTCGTCGAACCCCTCGATTCGACTATAAGTTCGTGAAAACCAAAGACTGTTTGGTAACTCAAATCGTGGTATGAACTTTCCAATAGTGCTTTTGTTGCTCGATTTGGGCTCGGATTGAGTTGAATTTGTTGTCGTTGGGTTTGTATTTTCGAGACGATCAGTTCGAGTATAAGTTTGCTGAAATCGGAGTTCAAATGATCCTAGATCAAATTTTGGAAGTTTCCAACTAGCTTTTTGCCTCGAGATTCGTGCCCGATCAAGATAATTTTATGATGATGTATCAAGCATAATCTTGTAATTTATAAAGATTTGTCTTATATAATTTATAGAAAAAAAATTCAAGTAATTTTTATGCAAATAACTTATTTTCATATATAACCATATTGAATTATTTCTTTAACAAATTTTCATAAAAAATCTTTATAACCACTGAATTGTAATTTAATATTTATATTTGTAAATTTCTATAATTAATATAGGCATTTCATGGGAATTCATTTTTTGAATTTTGTCCTAAAATATGAGCAATTTAAATATTTCAATTATTAAATATATAGCAAATAGAGATACATATATATTCCAATATATCCACCACAAACCTTTAATTTGTAGTTCTTATTGCGCTAAGCTCCGCAATTAACAAAGCCTTCAAACATGAACACTCCCCTTTTACCAATAGCCCCTGCACCCTCACCTTCCACTTCCACCATCATCGCCCGCCTCACCTTCTTTCTCGTCCTCGCCGCCACCTCCCTCTGGGCCAACCACCAATCCTCCAATCTCCCCTTCTCCATCTCGGTCCCCACCAACTCTCCCTCTCGCCGCTTCGACCTCCTCTTCGCCTCCAATGGCCGCGCGTCCGCCGCCATCTTTCGAGCCGCCTCACTCATCGACTCCATCCTCTTCCCCAACCCCCTTCTGTACCCACGCAAACCCGTCCGCCAAATCTCGCTCCAGTTATCCCCCTGCAACATCTCCTCTGTTTCCTTCGATTCCACTGCCGAAAGCTTCACCATTTTCCTCAGCGCTGATATCGCCGCGGAGGCGCTGGCCGCCGCGGTGACGAAAGGGGTGGCGCGGGTTCTGCTATGGGACGGCGGAGGCGAGGCGCCGAGTGAGATGATTGAGGCGTTGGGAAATTATTTGAGCGCGGCGGTTGCTGGAGATTCGTTGGTATTGAGGGAGACTGGGAGAGAGGAGGGAAAGTGTTTGGGGGAGGCGGGGTTTGTGGAGTATTGTGAAAGGCAGATGCCGGGGTTTGTTGCGAGGCTGAATAAGGGAATGAGGGACAGGTGGAGTGAAGAGATGGTGGATGATGCGTTGGGTTTTCCGGCCACGAGAGCGTGCGCGGAGTTTCGCCGGCGGCGAGGTGGGGCCGGCGAAATGGGAGGAGGACGAAGTTGGGCGGCTTCTGATTAATTGTTTAATTTTTGTTTAATTGTATGCATTATCTAATTTGTATTAAATTAGTATCCCTTAATCATGTTTTTAATGGTAATCATTTTCGGGTGGGCCCACATATGTTTAAAGTTGGTTGAGCTCGGTTTTTTATATAGGAATGTCTCTGTTAGTGGTGCTTAAGCGTAATTTTAATCAGCTAAGCTAATCATAAACATTCACCTAATCCTAAGCTTTTATAAATTCAATGAAACCTGTTAGAAATTTACCGTTATGTCCTTCGTTCCAGCTAAGGGCATCTAAAAAAATAAAATTTTATTTATAACATCAAAAAAAAAAAAGAATATGCTGTGTATATTATTTCTCATCTTTATTTTTATATTTGTTGCGGACTGGAACATTTGCGGGGTAGAGAGATGAATTTTAACATTATAATTTTGTACGAAGATCCAACATAGAAACATTTAAAGAGAATGGGAGTAAGAGACATAAGAGACATCATGATTTTTATATGAAAATTGAAAAGTTCTAAAAAGGGGAAAAATCACGGAGCATGGCTATGTTAAAATGATTTTACTAGTGTTTGTAGTCAATTACAAATGGTGCCCTTCCGCGGGGGGAAGACATTGACTTAATGTATCATATATAATACATTACATAGTGGAGTTGGAAGAATCCATTGATAATGAAGCCATTCTCAAGAGAATGTTGTATGTTTATTTGGTTGGTAGAGCTGTATTTGGGATATAGAAATCGGATGGATCGTAGTTGGAGAGTGATGGTGGTCAGAGGGACCGTAGTAGGCGGGCGACAGTGGTCAGAGGGATTGTAGTGGGTGGGTGACGGTAGTTGGAGGGACCATAGTCTACGAGTAACGGTGGTCGAACGGACCATAGACCACAGTCGGCGAGCGGCGGAGGAAGGAGTCCCTGTAGTCGACGGGCGATCGTGGTCAGAGGGACCGTAGCCAGAGAGACACTATCATCGAAGGGACTATAGTGAGCGGACCACGGTGGTCTGAGTGATTGTAGTCGACAAGTGGCAGATGTCGGCAGCCCGGCGACGGTCCGGAGATTGTCGAGAGAAAGTATGGCGACGGTTAGCAGCTAGGTGGAAATTCGGTGGTGGTCGGCGGACATGAGGTAGTCCAATTGTGGTCTGGTAATGGTCGGGTGGAAGTTCAGCAGCGGTCAATGATTGATTGGAAATCTGAAAGTATTCAACGGCCGAGTGGCAGTTCGATCATGGCTGAGCAGAAGTTTGACAGTGGTGGGTAGTCGATGACCGGGTGGAAGTCCGGTGGTTTTCGGTGGCAGGGTAGTGATCTGAAGATGGTCGAGCGGAAGTCTGGTGCTAGTTTGTGATCGTGCTGAAGTTTGGAGGCGGTCTGTAGCTAGATGGTAGTGCAGCGATAGTCGAGCGGATGTCCGTCAGTGATCAATGGCTGGGTAATAATCCGTCAGCGGTCGGAGATTGGGTGGAATTCTGATGGCGATTGATGATTGGGTGGATGTCTGGCAGCGGTTCATGATCATGCGGTGGTCCCGTGACGGTCGACGGGCATTCGCTGGCAATTGTGCTTGAGCTTTTGAGGTCTCAGATCTCTCTTCAATTTGTAGTCAAATGTCCCTCTTAATGTAGAGAATTGGAGTCTATTTAAAGATTTTTTAGAGTGAAATGCTCGATAAATATGGAGAAGATATAGGGCAGATTTGGAGTGCTCCATCAAACAATCCATATTGATCACCTCTGTCATAGAGCGTTTTTCAAGTATTTATGTGCCAAAATGTTGTTATGATTAAGTGATTTTGGGCTCTTTGAGACATTTAATTTGACTACAAGTTTGTAGAAATTGGAGTTCAGATGATCACAAATTTAATTTCAGAAGTTTTTAAACTTTTATATGTGTCTTTCTTAAAATTTAATTATGTTTCTTTATATATAAAAAATATATTTTAATAAAATTTTATTATTGTTTTCTAATAATAATAATTTAATTTGTATATCATCCCAAAAAAAATGTACGACCCCACTAAAAATTAGAGCAAATCTGCCTCCCGACATAAAATTAGTTGTTGATATGAGATTTAAAGGAATTGAAGAGTTGGTAAAAAAAATTGTGGATATTAGAAAACAAATATTTACTTCTTGACATACTAATTTGTGAAGCTTATTATGATATCAATTACAATATCAATAATTAAAATGGTATTCTTTATTATGAAGATTATAATGAAATATTAGTATAATCATTGAAGAGAAATTTCAATAAATATTTATCTAATTATATCTATTGAAAAAATATATTTATTAGTGTTGATAATGATTATACAATAATATAATATGAAAATTTAGATAAAGATATTATGCATGAGTTTTTATTTGTAAATTTTAATTAACATATATTTTATATTTTCATATTAACATTCTAAAAAATAATTATTTTCTTAATGTTTAATAGGCGGAGCATAATTAATAAAAGATTAAGCAAAAGGAGCTAAGTGGAAAAGAAATTATGGGAAGGAGCAAAAACGACAATCTATTTGACACAGTTGAAGGAACATTTGATGTAGTACTGATTAACCTGTAATACCAACAAAAATGACATAACGCACATAGTAGAAAAAGTATAATTTTTTTGTTCAGATTTCCAAAACTAGCATTAATCAACGTCCCAACTTACCCATCAATCAAATATTTCATCGCAGGCATCTACACGAGACATTATTACATTCGGAGTCTGGACACAAAGAACGGTTCAATTTTGTGACTGTGAATAGTAAAAGCGCAATTATTGTTCGCCACTGCGATTCTACTATTCACAGTCACAAAACTAAACAATTTTTTATATTCGGACTCCGCACATAATAATCTCTCCGTCTACACAGCTTTACAGTACTCAGAACTTACAATTTAAATCTCTGCATGCTTGGTTTGGAATCATTTTTTGTCACTTTTTTGATGTTTTCTAGAAATTTATGTGTTAAAAAATTTGCCATAGAAAACAATAAAAAAGTGATCACAAACAAAGACTTCGGCATCGTTTGAGGCGGTTTTAATTTCTTATTGCTTCTTTTTAATTTTTGTACTAAAAATTTTTTTTATGAAACAGTAAAAAGTCGTCCTAAACGAAATGATTGTTTCTTTATATATTATGATGCATATTTTTAGTACATAAATTTTTTGAATTTAAAATATTTATACGAAAAAATTATTGCATAAAGCAATAAAAAAATCATCACAAAATCTTATTTCATCTCTCACTCTCTCAGCATCCATCAATCAATCAACTTTCTAAAAAAAAAAATCAATAAATCAATTTTCTCCATCTCAAGAACGGCCTCAAATTATTTGATAGGATTATGGAGTAAAATAAATGTAATAGTTAATTGATTTGAGTAGGGTTATTAGATACTTGAGATAGATAATTAGTGAATATTGGTTAGCTCTAATATTCTATAAACAGCCTTCATTTGAAGATTTAAATCCGCCGTGATTTGGAGTCGTCGATGAACTCAAATCTGTCATTTATGATTGCAGTCCTTTAGATAGTATAAACATTCAACCTTAGAAGAAAATTACAAGACATAATTGAATTAAAAAATAAATACAATTTACAGAAATAATGCAAACATTGAATTTAAGATAAGATGCACTACATACTTATCATAAACAAATTTAGGAAATATCATCAATGAAGGGAAATAGTTTTATAGTTTGTGTGGAATATGTTTGTGTCAATCAACCGGGTTGTACTGTTGTCTAATAGGAGGGCAAAGCTTCTTTTTCTTGGGTTTCGGGGCCTTGCACATAAAAGTTATAATTTCCTGTAGAAGCGCTGCAACATGGTAGAATGTAGCGCAATGGTGCTATGATGGTCACTTGGAGACAGAGAGTGGAGCTCTAAGGTGCTCCAAAACTCGGAGCAGCGGCACTGTAGGCTGTAGCGCTGTGCCAGGTTCGAAGACAAAGAGCGGAGAGTCACGACGCTCCAAACCTCTGTGCTGCCATGCTACTATTCTGGTTAAGTAATTTTTCTTCCCTCTTTTTTTTTTCACTTGAAGGATTGCATTTTTGGTGTATTGAAAAGTATATACTTATTTAAAAAAAAATGTGTAGAACGTAGAGAGAAGTGAAGAGAAAGAATGAAAGAATGTGAGAGAAATCTGTACAATTTCTCATAATTTTCATAGTTAATTACTTGGTATGATGTGGCTTTGCGATTTTTTTCTCGGTTTCAGATTTTTCACAATAAATCTTGGTTTTTTTGTTGTTGCTAATTTTCTTTTCTTCTTGTTTGATTGTATGATTTACTTCCCAACATGATTTAACATATGAATACTTGCATCATATAATATTGTATTTTGATTCAACTTTAGCTGTTTTATTCCTTCGTTTTATCTTACTTGGTTCTTAGTATTATAAGTAGAGGTTTGAGTTTTCTATAAAGATGGGGCAGCGCTTCTCTTGCTTGGGTTTTGGGGCATAGCACATAAAAGTTACATTTTTCTGCATAAGTGTTGTAGTATAGCATGGTAGAATGCAGCGCAACGGCATTAAAGTGTTCACTTGGAGATAGAGAGTGGAGCTCTACGGTGCTCCAAAGCTCAGAGCAGCGGCACTGTTGACTGCAATGCCATGTCAGATTCAAAGACAGAGAGTGGAGAGTCACAACGCTCCAAACCTCTGTGCTACTAGTCTGGTTAAGCAATTTTTCTTCTATTTTTTTTATTTCACTTAAAGGATTGCGTCCTTTGGTGTATTGAAAAGTTTATACTTAAAAAAAAAAGTGTAGAACATAGAGAGAAGTGAAGAGAGATAATGAAAGAGTGTGAGAGAATTATGTACAATTTCTCATAATTTTTCATAGTGAATTTGTTGGTATGATGTGACTCCAAATTTTTTCTTAGTTTCAGATTTTTCTACATTAAATCCTGATTTTTTTTTCTAATTTTCTTTTCTTTTTGTTTGATTGTGTGATTTACTTCCCAACATGATTTAACATATGCATACTTGCATCA